ATAGATAGATAGATAGATAGATAGATAGATAGATAGATAGATAGATAGATAGATAGAGATAGATATAGAGATACTCAATAGGAAAAGGCAAGAGATTCCTCATTGCCTGCAGTTGGACTGAACTGGGACCAGTACCCTGGAAGGCAGTCCAAACATTTAATGCTGCCTATCCTGGCTTTCTTTCTTTCGGTTTGTCTCCTGACTCACCAGGATGGTACGCTGGAGGTTGGAGTTAACTCTTCGAAATGTGACCCGGCCCACAAGGCTGGCAATAGTTGGGAACACCAGGGCCCCACACAAGGTGCGCGAGATGGAAAGGTGGTCGCTCTGGTAGCGTGACTCGGCCAGAGGTATCGATGGGATCGGACGGCTGGTTCCTGAGGAGAGAAAAAACAAAACAAAACAAATCAGAATAGATCACTCTCAAGCAAGGGTGTCAAACTCAATTTCACTGAGGACCATATCAGGGTTGTGTTTGACGTTGGGGGTTGGGCATGGGGGGGTGGGCATGGCCAGCTCGACGTCACTCATGTTGGGGGCATCTGTGGTGGCCAAGTGCTAAGGCAGGACTTCCTTCAGATCCTCCCTCCCTCTCATTATAATCTCCTTCCTTCCTTTCCTTCCTTCCTGTCATGCCCTTGTTGGAGTCTGATTCTGAGGGGGAGATTGAGCAGCTGACAAGGAGTGGGAGTGTGGCTCCGGTGGCTGTGGAGGAAACGGGGGAAGGGTACAGTCTGGCTGGGCATTCAGAGGAAGATCCAGGCCCACCCCCTCTTCATCCCAGGGCATGCAGGGAGGAACAGATAAGGGAGCAACATGGCTTACGAGAGAGAAAAAGGCCCTGATCCCTTTCATTAGTTGCAGCGGGGAGAACAGGATATAAGAAGGGTGTTTGCACAACAGCTCCTTTCTGGAAGGAAAATGTGCGAGGCTTATCTGGGTTTTGGCGTCCTCCTAACTGTGATTGCTGCGTTATCCTTTGAAAGTCTGCAATTTATCATCCTGGCCTGCCATGTTAATTTTCTTCAATGTGGTTTGTGTTGGTTTTTTTTTAAATTCTAATTATCTTTACTTTGGGTTTGGACTCCATTTCTGCCCTTTGTAGACTGTTTTTGGAAGAGTTTGATCTCCAGCTGAGGATAATTGGACATTGAAGGCTAAGTTGGAGGCATTAAAGAGAATTTATCCCACATTTGTGACTTTGTTATTTTTGTGTCACGCCCCTTTGGGTCATCACACTTTTCTTCTTTTTCCTTCCCTCTTCCTTTCTCCTTTTCCCTTCCTTCTTTCTTCTTCCTTCCCTTCTTTTTCCTTCCTTGCTCTCTTCCCATCTTCCCTTCTTTCTCTTTCCCTTTCTCCTTTCCCGCCCCTTCTTGCGTGCTCAAATGCAAAAGGGGAAACATTTCTCCTTTTGATTTGTTTTTTAGTTTGCTTTGCTAGCCCTTTGCCAGCAAAAAATGGAGTTTGGGGGTGCTGTGCATGCCCCCCCCCGGCCCTGTTTGTGCTGGCCGAGGCCTGCAGGAGGCCGTTGTGGCAGAAAACGGAGCCCAGAAAGGCTGCACGCGGCCCTCCCACAAAGCGCAAGTAGTAAAGTTTTTTGAATCCCACCCCCACCCACCCCATTTGCAGATGCTTCTCAGCTTGCAAAAAAAATCATCTCCACAACCCCCCCCATGCCTGTCCTTTACCACCTCAAAACAGGAACCCAGAACTCAAAAGAGGAACCAACCCGGAACCCAAGAATGCAGGATCTGGAGCTTGCTCGAGTATTTCCGCCAGACTCGAAGCACGTAGTCTTCCCAGCGTATCATCTTGCCCAGGACCAGCATGACCGGAATGGTGGGAAGCCCCATGAGTAGGAAAAGGGGGTCGGCTCGCTCCATCACATCCAGGCCCTTCTTATGGCCAACCACCTGTGGAGGTCAAGAGGCAGGTAGGTGGAGGATTAGGAGTTAAAACTAGCCTTGTGGCCCCCAAGGTGCTTTCCCATTCCAGAGGGGGGAAAAAATTGCAGGCTACAGGAACCATTTGCACTACTCAGGTGACCCCGAGGACACAGATTATCCCTCAATGACCCTCAAAAAGGATGCAAATGACCAGCTGTCTGCAAGGAATAGAAATCCTTCCATGCCCCTTTCCAGCCAGAGTTGAAGCTTCTTGATGAGAAGTGAAACGTCTTCAAAAAGAAAGAACAAGAAAGTCCAGTTGCCTCCTGAAAAAAAAAGCACTTTGGGGACAACCACGAGAATCTCTACAGACTTTTGGCCATACAATTTGGGATGAACATCTTTGAATGGGGTGGGAGTAGGAATGGATTCCCAGAGGAAAGAAAATGCAGGCCACAGGAACCATTTGCACTACTCAGGTGACGCTGAGGACACAGGTAAACCTCCAAGTGGTTTCTGTTGGATTGCTGTTCCTGAGCTGCGGTGCAACAGGATGGGGTCAAAAGTTGCTCTACAGCAGTTGCTCTCCATGCTGTCTGGGGAATTCTAGCAGTCGAAGTCCACAAATCTTAAAGTGGCCAAGGCTGGACACCTTGGTCTATAGCCGTGATGGCAAACCTATGGCACTCGTGCCACAGGTGGCACACAGAGCCATT